TTGTTCGGGCGCGTCTTGATTTGCTACTTGGGGCTCCTAAGCCTCAGATTATAGAAGATGTCCCCAGTGCCTGCTAGCTTTTGCAGAAATATCCTTTGGAAGAGCCTCCGGGGCTTTCGGGCCTCCAGGGTTCAGGGCTTCGGATCATGGGGCTTGGTCGCGAGGCTCATCCTGTCTGGGAGACGCTCCTCAAACATTCCTGACTCAAGTCAAGGTTTGGGAGTCCAAAAGTTGGGCATCAACTGGGCCCCTGCAATCTCCTAAACCCCTAAACCCTAAACCCTCAACCCTAAACCCTAAACCCTAAACCATAAACCCTAAATGCTAAATCCTAATCAAGAAACACCACAGGTTGCGCCGAAAGGACTGGAAACCTCAACCTGGGCCCCCGAGCCGATCTCGCAAAGCCCCAAACCCACATACCGGGTCCGGCTGCGCTCCCACCGAACAAAGGCCCATTGAGAGTTCGGGTTTAGGGTTTAGGGCTTAGGGTTTAGGGTTTAGGGTTTAGGGTTTGGGGTTTAGGGTTTAGGGTTTAATTGATCAAAACCCCTAAACCGGACCGGGCAGCACGCGCAAAGACTGTAAAGGCTGAAGCTTGTGGCTCAAAGTTTCCTCGGCGGCTTAGGGCTCGACGGTTTAGGGTTTAGGGTTTAGGGCTTTTTTTGCTATGGCCCTGCGCGCGTGTCTGCGCGCTTTGGCGCCAGCCCAAAAAAGGGTTCCCGCATGAGCTTTGCGATTTGGCTATACTTGAAGTGTGGTCCTAGGGCGGTGTGGTTTGCTGCGAATTCCTTGGGAAAGTACCTCTTAGACATGACCTCAATTCGGTACGGGAATTGCATACCACGCCCCCTGCCCTGACTTAGGATTCTGTCCTTATATGCGGAACCAAAGACCACGGAGTGTGTGATTTCCGTACGAGGCTGTGTGAAGACCTCACGCATCATACTTAGCTGGAGCTTGTGCAGGGTTTCACTGGGAAGTTTGGGATCACGAGCTTTATTCCAAACCTCCTGGTTTGTAATTCTGGAGTAGTACGAAGCCTTTATTCCTACTACTCTGCGCAGGAATCGGTAGTAATACGCGTCTATGCGCTTAAGGAGCGGTGTGGTCAAGGTCAGCGCATCCAATCCGTAGGTAAGGATTGGTACAAATGTGCTTTGGAAGATTTGTAGTTTGGTTTTTTGACTTAGCGAGCTGTTCCAAACTAGTCTAAGCTTTTTGTAAGCTTCTTCCGCTAAACCACAACGTTGTTTGAATGCGGCTTCGAAGGGCTTTTAGGGTTTAGGGTTTAGGGTTTAGGCTTTGGGCTTGAGGCTTAGAGTCTGGAGACAGGGCCACCCCCCCACCCCCAACCGCACCTCCCAACACCCCCAACACCCCTAAACCCCTGAACCCAAAACCCCAAGACCCTAAACCCATGAACCCAAAACCCGAAGGGTATAAACCCCCTTCAACCCCTAAAACCCCTAAGCCCCAAGCCTAAGGCCTAAGGGGACACGACCCCCGCACGTTCAGCTCGCCGGCTCTGTTTAGGGTTCAGGTTTTAGGGTTTAGGGTTTAGGGTTTAGGGTTCAGGGTTCAGGGTTTAGGGTTTAGGGTTCAGGGTTCAGGGTTCAGGGTTTAGGGTTTAGGGTTTAGGGAATCTTTCCGAAATCCATTGCCCCTATCTCTGTGCCGCTGCAGGCTTGAAGAGTTGCGACGGAGGCAGCCCGCACGAAGCTTCGAAAAGGATTCGGGGCCCTTTTTGAGGGGCCTTTTTGTAAGGGTGCCGTACGATTCCTGGGAGCCCCTAAACCCTAAACCCTCAACCCCAAACCCTAACAAATCCGATACGCCCCAAACCCTAACAAATCCGATAAGCCCCCCAAACCCTAACAAATCCGATAAGCCCCAAACTCTGACAAATCCGAAAAGCCCTAAAACCCTAACAGATCCGAAAAGCCCTTAAACCCTCAGAAAGGGCCCCAAGGCTCCAGGCCCGAAGAGCCTAAACCCTAAACCCTAAACCCTGAACCCTAAACCCTAAACCCTAAACCCTAAACCCTAAACCCTAAACCCTAAACCCTAAACCCTAAACCCTAAACCCAAGGCTCCAGGCCCGAAGAGTTCAGGCGAACGCAGCCCACGAAGTGCAGCTCCAGCTCAACCAGGGTCTCCGGCAAACTCTCGGCCAGCGCCTTTTTCTTAAGGCTTTAGGCTTCTGGGTTTAGGGTTTAGGGTTTAGGGCTGCCAAGGGGGGCGTTAAGCTTGTAGTTTGTAGTTTCAGGGTTTTGGGGTTTGGGGTGTTCGGGTTTTGGGGTTTTGGGGTGTTGGGGTTAGGGTCTTTAGCATGTAGTGGGGACCTGTCAAATCATGATTTCAGGAGGGTTGCAATAGGTCTCTGTCGAGTCTGTATAAGGCTTTTCGGCCCCAAAAGAGTTTCGTGGAACCCCTCCCATAATTTTTTGTGCACTGGCATTAGCTCATGCTTCCGTCTGAGATTCCCGGCATTTTGGGGTTTCCAGGGAGCAGAGTTTTGCTTTCCATGCGATCGGTCTTGCGATCTCGGGGTGGCCTTAGTTTAGGGTTTAGGGTTTAGGGCAAACTTACATAGGCCCCTTTGACTGAAGGCTTAAGGTTACATTGCTCGGGGCTTTGGGCTGGGACCCCCCGTCCATCGCCAAGGCACCTTCATACCCACATCCGTCAGATTCTCGCAGCCCACGAAGTCCAGGTAAAATGTCCTACCAGTAGTTAAGAGTTCATGCTGCAGACGCAAGATCTAGCCCGGTTTGACTAGGTCCGGGTTCAGGGTTGGGGATCTAGGTCAAAGGCTAGAGCGGCTAGGGCGGCTAGGGTTTGGGGCTCTGGGCTTGGGGCTTGGGCTGGGGTTTTAGGTTTTTGTTGGGTCGTTGGCGGAAGTGCTCTCGCACAGAGGGCTCCAGTGCGGCTCTAGTCTGCTACAGCTCCGTGTTCCCGACCACTGAACCAAAACCCCAATCCCTAAACCCTACAAACCCCCAGCCCCACAGCCTTCTTACAAAACCCAAGACCAAACCTCCAAACGCTGTGCCCTCAAACGTTGCAAAATCGTACCCCCTTCCGACTCTAAACTTTTTAAAAGAGTCCTGAACCCGAAACCCTCCCTGAACTGCGCACATCCCGAAAGAACACTTTGGCCCGCCTGCCGTCGAAATTCCGATAGCTCCACATACACTCACCAAAAAGGCCCTAATGCACATTCCACACCCTAAACCCTGAAAGCCAAACAAGCCAAATCCTAAGACTCGTATATGAACCCTGAGGCTCACTGCAACCCCTAAACCCTACAAAAGCCCAGAACCCTCAGGCTGATATGACCCTAATGCTGATTTTCCAATAACCTCCGAAAGCGGATATAGCACGTACGGCTAAACCTAAACCTAGCTTCAACCCGAAACTAACCCAAAACCCGAAAACTGGTAGAGCAAGTGCGGCTAAGTTCAACCTAAGTTTCAACAAACAAACCCTGTGATAGGAGTCCTGGGCTTGGGGAGGTGAGACGCCAGCGCGTGAAGGGAGGCATCGGTCAGCTGATAACAACCTCTGAGTAAGGTTTCCCTCGACCCCAAAGAACCCTATCTTTTTAAGGACTTATATATAAGGAAATCATGGAAAGGAGCCCTAAAAAGGGTAGGTTCTTTGGGGTCTGGGTAGGGCTTAGGATGGACGCTCGGCGCTTCTGGCTTAGAGAGGCTTCGGGGATTAAAACATCACTCCAAACCTTAAGAATCCCAAGAAGAGCAAAAGGTGGACGTGGAAGCCAAACGATCCTGAGACGTGAATACCTTGAGCCCTGAAGAGAAACTAAACCTCAAAAGCTAAACTATCTCTTCGAAGCCGAACAGGCCTTCGAAGCCCCTAAACCCTAGTCCCTAAGCATCCCTAGGCCCTACAAACCCTCAGCCCCAAGCACTGCACCCTAAATCAGGCCGAGGAGGCCTTCAAAGCTCAACTTCAAGCTGGAGATGGGTCTTGGGTTTACTGTTTCGGCTTGTGCATTCCGGATTTGAGGACGTGCAACTCCATGCAGGGGTTAGGTTCGAGGCGGCGAACCACGCAACTCCTGTTCTTGGGATACCAGCCCTGGCACTGACACCTACCGCAACTCCTCGGAAGCACATTGGCCTTCCAAATGAAAAAGAGAGAGTAAGTAATTGGAGTAGCAATAGATATGCTGTAGAAAAGATTGAAAAGAAGTTGGGGCAAAATTACTACTATATTGAGGGCATCGATGGGCCGTATTTAAGGTTTGAGTTATTGAAGGTTTAAAAACAAAGTTGCCGAACAGATTCCCTAGGTTGGATTTCTGTTGCTGTGGCTTTTCTTCTTGTTGCTGTCTGTTCATGTGTAGGACTTCTACGTCTGATTTGATGAGATGTGCCGACGTAGTCAGCTCCTTAATGATAGAATATGCCGGCACAAGAAAATTATGTAAGGGGTTTAGCTTGGGGTTTTAGGGAACCCTAACTTATGACAACATACAACCCCGAAAACCCGGCGGTAGACCAAAAACGAGTGTGTCCCGCGGGGGACGGAAGAACAGAATGTGCTGACATACAAATGCTGACCCGGCGGAAACTGCGCACGATGCAGAAGCTCCAGTTCAGAAGGGACTGTGGCGAAGAAGGAGGAGAAGAAGGAGAAGAAGCAACAGAAGGAGGAGGAGGAGAAGAGGAAGAGGAAACAAATGAGCCAAAAGTTGAAAAAGAAAAGAAAGAACCAAAAAGTAAAGAAGAAGAACAGGATGAGTGAGAGGGAAAAGGGCCAGGGCGGAAGATAAGCAAGGGAGGTGCAACAAGCTTGGAGGCTGTCGGAGCGTCATCATCTTTTACAGCACGCGCAACACGAGCCGTGCCAACACAGGTCTCCCTTCAAATCTCATGTCTAAGGTGGCAAGGAATCACATAGGCTCGGCGGATATTGCCCGGCCAGCCCACACATCGCAAGAGACATCATCGTTTCTTGTGTTTCGTTCTTTATTCCGTGCCCCTGCCGAACGTGCCAGGCGGTGCAATCCTGGAAGGTAAGGTTGCCTCCTCGTCCGCCTGAGACTGCGAGCTGCCGATTCGCTCAGTAATCAATGTCCGTGCTTCATAGGCTTGCGCAAAGGCCATGTTAGGGTACTTTTTGACAAAGACAAAGTTGAACAGCATTGCCGCGATGGTCAGGTAGCCGCCCACCTGAACTACGACATGAAGCCTGATAGGCCTTTGTGCTGATGAGGCCTGTTCTAAACACGTGAGGACCGTGTTACAATCCGTAACTGATAAAGGGATGGGACTATCTTGCCTACCTTACCGGGGAGGTTTGTTTCGTCGCTCACCTTGCCAAGTATGTCCCACATCTGTTGCTGCACGCTCAGCTCGCGCACATTCGTGACGAAGAGGTCGGCGATTTCTATTCGCATGATGGCGTAACCCGGCTCAGCTGATGTGAAGCGCGAAAGAACTTGACAATCATCATGTTTTTGAGTTGGCGCTGTTTGCCAAGAATCTAGGAAGTTTCGTGATATGAAGGTCGTCGTGGAGCCATTCTGGTTCATCCGATTTGACAGTGACATAGAGAGATACTGAATACCGCTATTGGACAAACTCCAAAAATACTGCCATCGACTCCCAGTCCACGTAAACACATCGCAACTGAAAAGCCCTCCGCAGCAGAGATTGAAACCTGTTGGTCTGTCTGGCACATCCCATTCTGATAAATCGACAACAGAACATTTTCGTTGGTTGCCATCGATGAGAAGATCCTCTGCGGAGAGCTTCCAGCCGTCCAGATGCTTAGTTGGACCAGTTTTAACGCCAATGCCTGCCTCGGTCAGCTCACCACCTATTGCGCTGCATATGGCCCACTTTCCAGCGCCAACATTCCACGGGTCCCAAGTGATGCTGGTCGGAGGTTCTGACACCATCACAAGTGTGACTTGATACACCACATATGCAGCGATAGCTGCCAGCAACGCAAGCTGGACAATGAGGGCCAAGCACCGAAACCGCGGATCAACAACCCGGAACTCCATGGCTGCGGAGGTATCAGCATGGCTCCTGAACAAGCTTGAAGGAGGGTGGGTAGGGGGCTTGTTGGGGGGGGGGGGGGGG